TCCAATTGAATAAAACCCTACGGTTTAGCTTGACATGCTGTCCAACAAAGACAGTTTAAACAAAGCATTTCCGTATTATCACAAAGGGATCTTAACATCCCACAGCCTGTTCCGTCAAGCGCGAAAATTTAAAACAGAAAGTAATGGATTCCTTAGGAAGCTATAAATCAAGTCATGCATAAAAAGGTGTGATTATCTTAACGACAGGACGTTTGTGGGACGTCCCGATCCCGAAGAATGGCGAAAATTTAGGCCACCACTAATTTTGTGGGACATTTTGTGGTTGGCGAGATTAAATTACTGAGTGATGTTAATGGGCGAAAAAGGGAAATATTCGAAATAATTAAAATGATATCTGATTTGAAAAATCATCCATTCTTTAATAATCCTAATCTACTTAATTATGACTCAATCTGATGTTATTATGATGTTTAAATGATGTGTAAAGTTTCATCGAAATCCATTTAGTAGTTTTTGCGTGTACACTTTCACTCAAAAACTACTAAACAAACATCCATTCATCCTCACAAACTGATTTTTTTTGTGTTACTAGCTGACCAGGCGAACTGCGTACCGCCTATGCTTATCAAGATAAAACTAGGATTGTAATGTTGAAAGAATTTTCTAAATCATTCTAGTAGTTCCGGAGATTATTCAATTCGAGTAGAGACGACCCCTATGGTAACATAAAAAAACATTTTGTTTTCATAGGGGTCACTTAAAAATTAGGGATTGATGGTGATAACGGGCATAAGTCTCTTAATTACAATTTCACTTGAAGGGCAGATGCGACCGATGATGGTGCGAATCTACCAAAAGGTGCCTAATCATTGCTGTGAGGATCTCAGGGTTCTATGAATTCGGGAACAGTGACGTAAGCAAGAATTTATTTTCTTGGCTGTAATACCAATCTAAGAATTGTGATAAATAAGTAACAGATAATTAAATAGGCTTATAGTTTTTTCCACAAAAAAGTTAGGTATGGCGATAAAAAATGGCCCGAATGGCTTCAAGAGTAGGATAGTTCGGCCGTGCCTCTTTGTTCTTTTGCTCGACTTGGCGGATAGGGGAGACCGAGGGGATTCTAACAGAGATGAGTTGTAACAAAGCTGTTTTCTCTGCTGCACTTATGATGTAGCGTGGGACGTCCACCTACAAGGGCTGACGACATCGTAAAGGTAGCAGGGAAGCGCTGGACGCAGGCCGCTACCAACGATCAACATGGAAAGCATTGGGGGAGGCCTATGTTCAGCAGTAGACGTCCTATGGCTGAAATGATGATGATGATGATGACTTATGATAGTTAGCTAGCATTTTCACGCACACAGTGGAGTGTCGAAAGAGCAACGAATTCACGAAGTCGCTGACTCTATAAACTTATTAGTTTCAGAGAAATTTACCTCTGTTGCTACGACTCTCCTCGGTCTCCCCTACACTTCTGTGCTCCCAGATTCACGCGCAATTTTCTTCATTACTGAAGACCTGTTTCATTATTTAATATAAGGTCATCAAAATAATTCAATACAAAAATCGTAAAGCTAAATTTTTAATCAAACCCTTTATTCTTTACTTAACAATTTTTACTGCCCTTTAAAGCTCGTAAAGTTTTACTGCCAAAATTTGAATAATGAAGTTAAAATTTTACTACCTCAATTTTTTGGGAGGAAACTTGCGAGCAATTTTTATGCAAAGTAAGTAGTTTTTTTTAGAAAATGAGGTTTTTATACTAAAATTACACCTAAAATTAGTTCGAGGCAGACTTTTATGGTGGGTTAGTACAAATATTATTAATGCGCAAAAAGCAACGTACTTACTGTTATTTCGTTTTTCTTTTATTAAACAGCTAAAAAGGTTTTCAAGGCTATTTGCAAAAAATAAATTACTTTTATGACACTTATGTACAGTAAATTACATTTTAAAACGCGAATAGACTTAAAATTGGCCAACCATGGATACGAACTACTCCAAAACTTATTAAAAAATAAGAGAGCTGTTCATTTCAGTCGAAAGACATCCACTGCTGGACAAAGCCCTCTCCCAAGGTTTTCCACAAAGACCGGTCCTGCGCCGCCCGCATCCAGGCACATCCCGCGACCTGCACCAGATCGTCGGTCCACCTAGTGGGAGGCCTGTCCACACTACATGTTCCGGCTCATGGTCAACTTTACCAGCTAATTACCTAAGAGGGCTGGTTTAAAAAGTTTATTTTTTTGTAAATCAGTATGAAATTTAAATACTTAGACACGCTGAAATCCCAGCAGTCAGAACTTCAGGCAGAATATAGTACTTAACAAGAACCCTCTAAGTTTGCGTAACCACCCTGTATCTTTGCCCTGATTACCAAGTTTCTTACGACTGAAATGTAATTGGTACATTAAATAGTCATTACTAACACATACTTACGGAACCATTACTCCCTCAAAGCTCCCTGGGGCGTAATACCAGAGAATTTTGTTTGTATTCCGGAATCCGGTTACGTTCCGGTATACGAATATAGGGAAAGCAAATAGATATTGATGCCCGTTTGAACTGGGTAGACGGTGCTTTGCGTTTGATTTATAGTGCACTAGTATATTGTGCTGCTTTGTTCGTTTTGAATATACCGTTTCTTTGTATGCTTGCTAAATACCTGTTATGTATGAACTAGCTTTCCGCCTGCGGCTACGCCCTCGTTGAATTTTGTCTGTAACAGAAAAACTTTATCGCGCGCGTCCCTGTTTCAAACACCGGGATAAAATCTATCCTATGTCCTTTCCCGGGACTTAAACTATCTCCCTGCCAAATTTCATCAAAATGGGCTCATTGGTTTAGGCGTGAAAGCGAGACAGACAGGCAGACAGAGTTACTTTCGTATTATTTTATATTATAGTATAGATTTAAGAAAAAACATTTACAACACAATAAAAGGATAATAATACTTATTTGTATCCCTATCTAATAAAAGATTTTCATCATAATTTTCTTTTGTATCCATATTAATTTCAATTTCTTTTTTTTTTTTAATAAACACAGTTATTTTGGCTATTATCTAGTTCTTCTGATTATCCTACTTTATCGCATTGATAGCGTCGTGTCATTCATCGTGGCACATTTCGTGACGTTTTTAAGACGTGATCTAATTTCCCTTGATATGACGTCGCATCACTAGTCGATGCAGCAACGTGGCTACGTCACTAAATCATTACAAATGTTTGTGTGGTAGCCCTAACAACCATCGATTCTTGACTCTCCCAATCGCCAAACCGCTAATCTGTTGATGTTTATGTTTACTTAGTATCGGCTTAATTGACCATTGTAAAGCAATTACCAAATCATGTTGGGTTAGATCTAGTCCTGTTTAATAGGTGAAGATGCCAGATGATGTTGTTGTCCATAGACAATAGTGTTTTAAACAAAAAAAGGGAATTTTACTGCCAGAGATTTGTGACAATTTTGAGATTCTGAACGTTGTAAATGAAATTTTATAATGTTTTTTTTTATTTCTTAAAGGCATATTAATTAGGGATTGCGCGCACCCGTGCTACTTTTCTGTCCTACTATTGTCGCCGTGACTTTTTTGAAGTCCATGGAGATGTATGAAGGTACGTAGCGTAGCGACGTGACAGTGAAAGATTTTTTTAACATTTTCGATATATCAACCAAAAAAGTTACCCGTGCACGCCGGCCCTTACATGCATTGCATAACCCAACGACAAAATAAAACGCTTTGAAAACTTCAAAATATTTTGCAGTCTCGTGTAATTTTAAATTTGTAGAGAATGTTCAACGGTACACCGTACCATTTGTACCCCGTGAAAATTTATATAATTTCACAAATAAATAAAACAATTCAAAGAGCTTAAATATCAGTCATCTTGATACCATTGTTTCCCATAATGCCCAGAGACGTCTCGACACTCCCATAGTGGCGATAGAGAGCCTTTGTTGCCCTTTGTGAGCATTGGGCAAAATAATTACCCTTTTATAAGCAGCGATATGGAAAACCTTTGTGGGGAGATTGTTAATTTTAAAACGTGTTTCTGGGGTGCAAACGTAATTCAATATAAACCAGCATGCTCTTTGGTCATTTGTATCTTCATAATCTATACTTATAATAAATCTGTAGAGAGGTCAATTCTGTACATGAAATATATTTTCAAAATAACTATCAGGGGGTGAATAGTGATCGATACTGATGCCAAAAATGCAATCAGTAAAATTTTTGTCTGTCTCGTGTAATCTCGAGTCTGTCTGTCAGTCTGTATGTTCCTTATAGAAACAAAAACTACTCGGCGGATTTTAACGAAACTTGGTGCAATTATTATTTAATAAATAATATCACAATTATTTGTATCTTAATTAAGCTACATGTAGGTAGGTAACCTATTTGTTTTCCGATGTTCAATTTGTTTTTCAGAGTTTTTTTGTCAAATGTCCCCACAACATTTATTTTAAGTTATTCAACTATTTTATACATTTTTTCTGACCTCTCCCAAGAATTGGTAATGATGAAGTTTAGAAATGTTATCTTATTAGTCTTTTGTTGATTGTTTGGGAGCAACTGCAGTAGATTTTAACGATTGGAAATCTATTTAACCTAATTTCAAGCCACCGAACCAGTCTATAAACCGAAGTCTAAAATATTTGAGTTTGAATAATTTATAAATAGGATTCCCTTACTAAAGCGACTCTACCGTCCACAATTTCTTTAGAACACAGCGCGGAAGAAAAAATGTTTTCCCAGTCAGTTGGGCAGAATGTATTTTCAGGGGTAATGGAAACTGTATAACTGTAATTTATGCATGGAGAGTTTTTGTGATGTTTTCTTTGGCACATATCGCTCATTGAATTCAAAACGGCCACAAACCATAAACTATACTTTTTACAGGAGAGTCAAAACAAATTTTGAAACATGTTTTTTAAGAAAAAATATGTTTCTTTTTATTTAATAGTATGATGTTAGTATATCATTGTTTACGTCAAATTTTGTATTATTTTTTAAAATAATTACCGTTGTTACAGCTCTAACACAACCTGAAAAAAAACTACAAAAGCCCTTTTTGCATTCAAGATTAGATCAAATGTTTAAACAATTATCTCAAAAAAAGAAATAATTTTTAAGTGAAATATGCTATATTTATTGTTTTGAAAGAAGAAGACATTAAAAAAACAACAAAAGTAACAAAAATATTCTGTATGTGAAACAAAATATATGCCTTTGCACTATTTTTAAGAGCCTTTGCTTTATTTCTTTTCCAAGATGCAGGGTCACATTTTCTTTTACGGGATAGCTGCTGAGGTTCTACAGTAGTGTCAACACTAGGGGGTTGTGTGTCAACGCTAGGGGGTTGGGTGTCAATACTAGGGGGCTGGGTGTCAAAACTGGGGGGCTCGGTGCTAATACCAGGGAGCTGGTTGTCAATATTAGGAGGCTCGGTGTCAATACTGGTTTGTTGCAATTCCGTTTCTGAAATAGGTGGCTCAGTATCTGTATTTGATGTCTCCATTTCGATATTTTTGGGTTCGTCTTCCGCCCCGGAAGGTCCAGGTTGAGGAGAAAAAAGACGGTACCTATGACGATCAGTCTTCACGAGTTTCTGAGGCAGAAAATTAAGATCCTTAGCACTATCGTCAGAGGAAAAATCAGATGAACTACTTGACGTAGAGCTGTTTGTATCACTATCAGAGTTCGCTTTCAGATGAGTCACTTGGTGGAATAATTACTCTGAGTTTCGTCTGTGTTCTTAGCTCTAGACTCTTCATCATCACTCAACGATATATTGTGATCAGGCTGACTGTCAGGGTAGGAGTCCGTATCAAAATTACTATCAGCCGATTCTCTTCTTTGTCCAACTATTGCTGGTATTTGAGTTACCTGAGTGTTGACAACAAATATGGTTTGTTTTTCTTGAGCTGGACAGGCTAAATGACTTTCCGCGTCATAAACCGAATCCGTTATTGTGTTCTGACTTCCAGTTTTAGCTGGAATATCACATTTTTTAATTTGTTGAGAGTTGATAATGCGCTTATCTTGCACCCTAACTGATTCTTCATTTGTATTTCCAACTGCCATGCTTAAAATCATTTTTGCTCTGCTCATTCTGTAAATAATAATGCAAGGTTACTCAAAAAACTACCGTGAGTCGAGCCCAGTTTAGCATTTTGCTTATCTACTTAACCTAAAATAAAAAAATAACGGGGTTTTCTGAAGGGCATGTCAGTTCTTCGGCAGCCTTCCAAGTGTAAGGTGCAAAGGAGAGAAGAATAAAGGAAGAATCTCTAATACTGGAAGCATTGTTTCATTAAAGAAAAACTCTTGTTCTATTCAGAAGCCCGATTCTCTGTCGGAGCATCACCGCACCACGGTAGTTAGAGCCCTAGCTAGCCTGGTGGCTAGCCGTGCCGGCCAGTGGCCCCGGATAAGATTACGTCATACAGTCCACTCGCTCTGGCTGTCGACCGAACTGTTGTGTACATTCTTCTTTTTTGCAGTCGGTTAAAAATAAATATTCATTTAGTTTAGTTGTCCATGCCTTTTTGTATTAATTTAAAAAAACATATTCCTGAATATGGCATAGCTTTGGAATGCAAAATGTACCAGATTTGTAAATGTGGCATTGCTTTGTTTCATATTAGAATGAAAAATGTACAGATTTGTAAATATGGCGTTACTTCGTTTCACATTGGAATGCAAAACGTACGTATCCTAAAATATGGCACTATTGCATTAATAGATTCCGAATGTACTTACTTGAAATTTGAAAGCAACACGGCCGCATTCCAAAATGTGGCTCCTTTGCACAAAACACCGAGGTCGATCTGGCGTGATTTTTTTACTTGTGGCCGTTTTGTACGAAACTGATGTGCGTTCGCTCCGAGCACTGGGTCGCAACTGACAAAATGGCGGTTTTGATCTGACGTGAGCGCGAAAGTCGGCCCAATACAAAAATGGCGGTTGACCAGTTTGGCATCAAAATTAACAAAAATGACGGGTGTCTTCAGCAAAACGTAAAATATATTACTTTTAGAGCCTAATTTCGAAATAAAACGATTTTGAATTATTTTTGANAACGCAACATGCAATGCAACACGAAACGAGCATTGCATCAGTGTAGACGCGGGGCGCGCACAACGTGCGCACGAACCGCGCATGTACCTACTCACATCTGTTTCCGAGATGCGCGCGAACGGTAGGATGATAAAATACTAATCATTTTACTGTAACATTTTTTCTTGTGTTGTTTCCATCAAATTAGCAATTTCCATCCATGCATCCTCTTTAAAATGTTTTTTATAAAAATTCTCATGTTGTGGATTCCACAAAATTTCCTTTGATCTGTACACTTCAATTAATTGAAGCACTTTTTCTTCACTCCACGTAAATGTAACCGCCTCCTCCGCCGCAGTAGCGTCGTCTTGTTCCATGTTCGCGCGCGTCTAGCCGTACACACCACACAACCTGTCCNAATTTCGAAATAAAACGATTTTGAATTATTTTTGAAATGTGGCTGTGTTGCATTCGATGAGCGATATCACGAATGTAGGCCGAATTTCTAATTTATTCAAACCGGGCCAGTATGTAAATAGGTCCAGAAAAAGGTCGTTTCGGAATAGAAGGCACGAACGGATCGTAAATGGAATGAGTGAAGTTTTTTCCTGAAGTTATCATTATTTTATCAACCCATACCTGTTTTATACCTGACTGAAGTCATCCTACTATCCCACTAATATTATAAATGCGAAATTTTTTATGTCTGGATGTTTGTTACTCTCTCACGCACCAACTACTGAACGGGTTTTGACGAAACTTTACAGTATTATTGTTTATAACGTAGAATAATATATAGGCTATAATTTATGATGAAATTTCACGCGGGTGAAGCCGCGGGCAAAAGCTAGTACAATGATAATACAGATACCAAAGGTTTAAATTATAATCTCCGAACCTCGTGTCTCTCAAGTCTTAACCTAGGTGACTTACGCCCGTATTCACAAACGTTACTATGAGGGCAGAACTGACGGCCGATGGGGCAGAAAGGTTCTGGAATGGAGGCCGCGTACCGGAAAACGCAGCGTGGGACGTCCACCTACAAGGTGGACCGACGACATCGTAAAGGTAGCAGGGAAGCGCTGGACGCGGGCCGCTACCAATCGATCAACATGGAAAGCATTGGGGGAGGCCTATGTTCAGCAGTGGACGTCCTATGGCTGAGATGATGATGATGATGATGATGATGACTATGAGGTCTGACAGTGTGCGTGGACGCCCCGTCAATCACTGAGCTCTATTCAACGCTGTGAGTTCGATTTGCTGCGTCACTTAAGCAAGCATCGTTTGTGAATACGGGTAATTTTTATTATCAGATGGCACGATACTTGCAATTCTTTGTCTAATATTGCTATATTAGACAAAAAAGTTATATTTTTATAATATTCTAATATGGTTAAGTCCTTTATAATTGTTCGGTGCTAAAACTGTACTGGTGTATAATTACCCTAACCTTTCAAAAAGAAATGCTGTGTATACCTGTAATTGAGGTCATATACGCATCATGTGTTAATCCATGTTAAAATGTATGAACTCTATATAATTATGTGACTTTGTTGGTCTACCTAAGAAATAAATAATAAATATTGCATCAATCTTAAGCAAACAATTGAATTGAACAAATGAACATCCAACCTACAAGTCTAAGGTATGTGAATAAATAAGTACATTATAGAAATACTATGTCTCACCCACACACCTGTTTAAAATTTCACCTCCAACAAAGTACAGCTCGGCATGTTCGAACGGAATATATTTTCGCTACGTCAGCTTATTGGCGTGCCCAAGTGCTCTGTACTCTAGCTTTAGTGCTACAGGTAACGCATATTTGTTAGGGAAGATGCTTTGCGATGTCAAGATGTGGCAGCCAAGCAATTTGTGGGAACATCTTCATATATCATGTGTAGTAGTTGTTGCCGATTTGCATTTAAAATGCAAAGGACAATGTTCGTTCTCCATACATTGTTCGCCTAAGAACCAACAATTTTGACATATTACTACCCGAAAGCGAAATAATACGATTCTGTGTGTAAGAACAATGATTCCTGATGGACACTTGCCATAAAATTAATGATTAAGAATATTAAATCACAGCGATTTTATAATATGTCGTTTATGACAACATGGCGTCTAATGTATTAAGTGAATGTATGAACACCGATTCGCGAAAAATGTTTTGTATTGTCGTCACGCCGAGTCGCAGCCAAATAGTATAAAATAATAGAACAAGTTTTAGAAATACAACTCGGCATTCCACTTTTATAATATGCCCACATATTGCACGTAAATAAACAACATGAATCGTAGGTTGTTTCCACCCTTGTCATCTGACACATGAAATAAACTCCTATTGTATTATAGATATCGAAGCCGAATCGTATATAATAATAGAATGGGTTTTGGAGATCACTCGGGGTTCCACTTTTATAAATGTTGCAAAAGCAGTGGACAATAATCTCTATCAGTGGCACGAAAGGTTAGCGCACCAAAACTTCGAACATGTGAAAAAGTTACTTACGAAAAACGACATCAATGTGAACACAACTTCGTTGCCCAAGTGCGAAGGTTGTCTTCAAGGGAAGATACATAGATTATCGTTCCATAACAGCGAGAGTGTCAACACTAGAACCTGTGAACTGTTCCATGTGGAAATGTGGATACTTTTGGCCCCATGGAGGAAACATCTGTTGGAAGGTCAAGATACTTGTAGTCTTAAAGGATGACTTCTCAAGTTATAGACACGTATACTTTGTCAAGAATAAGCACGAGATTAAGAACTGCATAGCTGATTTCATAAATAAAGCTAAGAACACAACTGGTAATAAAGTGAAAACTTTCAGAAGTGACAACGGGCTTGAGTTTGTCAATAAAGAAGTCAAGGAATTGTTTTCAAAGCACGGAATAACTCACCAAACAACCACCCTTTATTGTCCAGTGCAAAATGGCAAGGCTGAGCGGGAAAACAGAACACTGGNACGTATACTTTGTCAAGAATAAGCACGAGATTAAGAACTGCATAGCTGATTTCATAAATAAAGCTGAGAACACAACTGGTAATAAAGTGAAAACTTTTAGAAGTGACAACGGGCTTGAGTTTGTCAATAAAGAAGTCAAGGAATTGTTTTCAAAGCATGGAATAACTCACCAAACAAGCACACCTTATTGTCCAGAACAAAATGGCAAGGCTGAGCGGGAAAACAGAACACTGGTGGAGGCAGCACGAACCATGCTCTATGCCAAGAACATGCCGAAGAAACTGTGGGCGGAGGCGGTCCATACAGCTGCATTTGTGCTCAATAGAACGGGGAAGAGCAAAAATAGTGAGAAAACCCCATACGAGCTGTGGACTGGCAAGAGTTTCGATATCCATCTATTGAAGGCTTTCGGCACACCGGCTTATGTGCACATACCAAAGGAAAGACGAAGGAAATGGGACAAGAAAGGCGAAAAGGGATACATGGTTGGTTATGGCGAAAACGTGAAAGGCTACAGAGTCTATTTTGCAGAGAAAAATATAGTAGAAATAAAGAGAGATGTGGTTTTCTTAGAAGAAGAAGTACAGAGTGAAAGCAGAGAGCCAGTGGTAAAGTTGGATTTGGATTGCAATGTGGAGGATGAGGAAAAGGAAGATGATGGAGCATGTGAACCTCGAAGTGATGTTGAAATAAGTACAGGAGAAGACACAGAGATTGAGAATGAAACTGAAGTGAGTGAATATGAGCCATGTACTGATGAAGGTGATAGTTCAATGGAGTTGGTGGATGAAAGAGAGGTACGTCGTGATAGGAGCAGGCGGATCAGAAAGCAGAACAAATTTTACTGCTGCCATAATGTCTACAGCGAAGAAAATGAGCCAACAACCTATGAGCAGGCTATGAAAANTCAGAAGTGACAACGGGCTTGAGTTTGTCAATAAAGAAGTCAAGGAATTGTTTTCAAAGCACGGAATAACTCACCAAACAACCACCCTTTATTGTCCAGTGCAAAATGGCAAGGCTGAGCGGGAAAACAGAACACTGGTGGAGGTAGGGTTGCCAGGTCCAAAAACAAAAGCCGGACTCTGTGCTTCATTTGGCCGGACATATTTTAACCCTAAAAGCCGGACATGTCACACGCAATTAGTGTCATAGCTCACGAGTGAGTTCTAACATGATCGATTGGCCCAATAGCATTTTTGTACGAGTCGCAGAGATCACATTGGTCCTTCTTAGGGACAAAGAAGGATGAGTTAAATTCAGTGTTAAAAATTCTGTTATACATGTCATAAGGGATGCTACTGGCATTGCATCTCTATTCGATACGTAATTGCAATATAATTCCTTAATAGTTAGGCCACCGTCAATAAATTCACGACGTGTGTTAGCCCGAGTGTAGTGACTCTCTATTCGGGGCTCTGAATTAATGTGACCGCGAACTGACTGTACGATTTCCTCACCAACTTTATTATGATGATAATGTTTGCCTCTTTTCTTCCGGAATCATACCTGTCGTACAATTTTGTCTTCCTTGCATTACTGTTCGCAATACTCTTTCTGATATGCCCAATGTATTAATAAAAAAAATTTTGCATGTCCGTTTGCTTTCTCCATTCACCGTAAAATGAAAAACACAGTTTTGGTTTCTTGTTTTAGCATTTCCTTCTTTCACTCGGCGGTATCCTTACCGTCCTTAACTATTTCCTAATTTATACTTATAATAAATCTGTAGAGAGGTCAATTCTGTACATGAAATATATTTTCAAAATAACTATCAGGGGGTGATTAGTAATCGATACTGATGCAAAAAATGCAATCAGTAAAATTTTGGCTGTCTGTCTGTATGTTCCTTATAGAAACAAAAACTACTCGACGGATTTTAACGAAACTTGCTACAATTATTCTTCATACTCCTGGGCAGGTTATAGTATACTTAGGAATTCCCACGGGAACGGGAATTAGCGAGAAAATCCTTTTGTATGGGTAATCTACTAAACCGCTTAA